TCTGCCTAGATCTATGCTGACAGCCCCGGTGCCGGCTGAAGTTGCTGTTCTGCCCTGTTCAGGCAGCTCGCTGAGACTTTTCAGCCTGGTGAAGATCTCCTGTTCTGTGGGTTGTAGAGGGCTTGGGTGGAGTGCTGTATCCGAATCGAAGAGTCAGAGGGGGAGATCCTCCGGTCCTCCGGTCGGTTGCACGCACCTCCTGGGTGGGGCAGTGCCTCAACTTGCCCTATTTGGTTTATACCCACTGTCCACCCAGACCCATAAAATGAACCTGCTACCTCGTTTGGAACTGTAGAGACCACTTGGCTTCTGTGTCTCTCTCTCTCTCCGGGAGCCGCTTTCCAAAGCTGCCTCTTATTTGGCCATCTTGGGATCCCCCTACTTAAATACTTTTTGAAGAGGTCTTTGTTGGGGCAAGGTAAGCAGTTCTAATACTGGGATAAATGATGATTAATATTGGAAAATAAAAGTGGTAGTTTATTGTTATTACTACTCAATTATTAAGATTCACTAGACCATTTATTCTATTCATTCATTCATACATGCAATGAATGTTAAACACCAAGTACATGATTTACCAAGAAGACTGTAAAGATTTAGGAAGGAATATGAAGACAGGAACTCAGTGGAACACTGCAACTTGAATCCTGGGAGGCGGTACTTTCAAATAATTCTTTATAATGGTAATAAATTTGCTGTATCTATCCTACATTTATCAGGCCTTTCCTTGGTGGACTGACATCATCATTTAAATGAAAATCCCTGTCTTCATTTGTTAGTTAAGGTACATTGCTCCTCAGGGAACAGACAAGTCTGTGACACATTGGAGCAAAGTGTCTGGAATCTGATTTTCCAATGGACGTTCACATATGTTTGAACAAAAGAGTGGTAAATACTAACTACAGCACCTATTTTACAAAAGCCCAACTCAAGACACAGAAGCCTTAGGATGAAAATGACATACAGTAGAAACCACAGATGTACAAAAGACCAGCCAGGCACATGGTAGTGAGTGAAATGACTAGATCAGAATCATCTGGAGCCTAGAGCTCAACACATGGGTGTCAACTCGGAAAAAATTTAAATCCCACAAATGACAGAGTTTTTTTTTTGTTACAGCAAATATTTCTTGCATACTCACATAGTAAGAACCTGAGAATCACTGGAGTTAATGATGTCTAGGCTTTTCCCACATCTAGGACTCTATAATTTTTCTATAGCTTTGCTACCAATGACTTTTCCTTAGACAATGTATAGAGTGAGGCACTCATTCCTCCCCAAGGCAGCTTATTTTGTTCTTGGTTGTCCATAGTGTTAGAGCAAAGAGTAAGCAGAGAGTCATCTTCTTCTGACTTTTATGTATTGGGTCATGTTCTACTTCTGAAGTGACATAATCTAACCACAGTTTCTTCCAGACAATGGCTTTCCATTATACTCCTTAAATTCAGAAAAGATGTACAAACCACAGCAAAATAACATGCATCGGGAAAAGGGGAAGAGAAAGAAGGAAACAGGAAACAAGCCAGGAAACCAGTTTCCAAATCCATTGTGTTAATGGCTCAATATATGCTATAGGGAGCCCACAGATGTAGCTTTAGATTTTCTAGCAGTCAACTGTCAGAGGCAAACGTTAGCAGTTGGTGTACCAACATCCTTAAGGGCAATTTTCTTCAGGACAAGCATAAGTGTGCCTGGTACTCAGTTCAGACTTGGAGTAGTCAACATGGTTCCTTGTGGAAAAGTCTGTTGGGATGTCTTGAGCCACATGCATCACATTTCCTATGTAACCATCATAATATAAACAAACAAATGACATCATGGCCAAGCAGTATTTAGGAAGAGTGATTATTTTAAGATATAAAAATAGTAAGGTCTAGGTGCCCCATTTCCTGCTGTAGATCTGGCTACGTCCTTGATTCTAGATTATTTGGAAGAGTATATCCAATGAATGCCATGTAAGCAACTTTCCTTGAATGTTGGGTCTTTTGGGTGAGTTTTGAATAAACATTCATTAAGCTTTTGATTAAATATTAAATAAATCTGCACTTACTCTATGCCAGGAACTATTCTAAGTATTTTACACTCATTGTCTCATTTAGTATTCGCAGTAGTCTTATACAGAGTTGCTCTTCTATATCCTATTTCACGGATAAGGAAACCGAGAAAGATTAAGACCACTAGTAGTTTGTGAAGCCAGGGTTTGAACTTCACACATTCAACCCAATCTCCTTTTTTAAATCATTATGGAATTCCTTCAGCAGTCAAGTTAGGTGAACAACCTTCTTTGAAAGTTTGGGATTTGAAGACAAAGGGCAATGATGAGGTCGATTTATTTCAGCTGAGAAGCCAAAGCAATGGGAATGGACAGAAGCTTGAAAAAGAGGATGGAGACTGGGGCAAAAAGACAGGGAGGGAAAGGAAGGCAAACAGTCCAGTGTATCCCTTAGAAAATCACTTCTCTGTTCTTTTTTCAGCTTCTTTAAATTGCAAACTGCTGTGGTTTACAATATGTCCATAAAATTTTTGACACTCTAAGATGGAGCCCAACTCCCTTCCCTTTGAGAGTGAGCTGGATCTAGTGAATAAAGTGGGGGATTTGGTCCTACAAGGCACTGTGGCTTCCTCACTGTTCTCTTTTGGACTGCTTGCTCTGGGGGAAGCCAGCTGCCATCATAGAGATGAACAGCCTAAGACAAGGGCCACGTGGTTAGGCACTGTGGCCTTCTGACAATGGCTAGTGAGGAACGGAGGGTTTTTTGCCAACAGTCATGTGAATGAGCCACATTGGAAGTGGATCTTCCAGCCCCAGTTAAGCCTTCAGATAACTGCAACCCAAGTGTAAACTCAGAAGGAACCCTGAGCCGGAACTACCCAGTGAAGCCACTCATGGGTGATTCCTGACCCTCAGAAACTCTGTGAGATGATACATTTCTATCACGTTAAATTGTTAGAATTTGGAGTTGCTATGCACTCACAGATAACTAATACACAAACCGACAAACACGCCTCCCAAACCAACAAAACAAAACAAATTCAAATAAAGTACATTACCCAGAATTTCCCAAGGAGAAAGAAACCTTGAGAATACAGCTATCCTCCTTTAAGTAAAGTATGCCTGCAAACTCTTTTAATCCAAAGATATTGCAGCATTTTGATTCACTTCTAAAATAACTTGCCATGATTTGGAGCTTAAGTATGTAGGTTATTTACTTACAATTTACTTGTATAAAAAAGGAAAGATACACACATTCAAGATTTCACATTACATAAACTCCTCAACATTCTTAAAGCAATGTCAACAACCAAATGCAAAAGATGGCCCAGCGAAATTCTCTACCTCCTAAGAAAGGTTAAAATCTTAAAATCCAGCTTTAGAGGATGGAACCACAGTAGGCAATTAGCAGGCAGAAGCACACAATTTAGCCAGTCGTTAAGAACAATTCGTTAAAAGCTCATTTTAAAAGATAACATTTGCCAGCATTCTGATCCCAGAGGTTGGCAACCTGCTGAGGCCACACACGATCATTGCAGGGTATTCAGCATATGATGACGACTACAGCTGGAGAGCATGTCCTGATTTCCAGCATCTCCAGGGAGAGTAAACATCACTTGAGCTTTCATTCTAATGCAATCACGATTATGAACCCAGAAGTATCACTTAGGCACCATGGTATCTCATTATTTTTCAACTTCCACTTTCTCTACTCCATTGCTCAACCCAGAGTTTCGTGAGCCCCACTGCATGGCATAAAGGAAGCTTTACTAAGGAAAACAAATGCTAATTTATTTCTAGATGACTTACAGTGCTCAGCCCCAAATCAGGCCTGGCTAGTACACCTCTGCTATCTGTGCTCCTTCTTGCACAAAACTCCTCATGAAGTTGCAGTTTTATTAGTTTTATTTATTTACTGTTATTATTTTTTTGAGACAGAGTCTTGCTCTGTTGCCAGGCTGGAGTGCAGTGGCGCAATCCTGGCTCACTGCAACCTCTGCCTCCTGGGTTCAAGCAATTCTTCCGCCTCAGCCTCCCAATTAGCTGGGACCACAGGCGCATGCCACCACGCCCGGCTAATTTTTGTATTTTAAGTAGAGACGGGGTTTCACCACGTTGGCCAGGATGGTCTCGATCTCTTGACCTCATGACCCACCCACCTCGGCCTCCTGAAGTGCTGGGATTACAGGTGTGAGCCACGGCGCCCAGCGAAGTCCCAATTTTAAAAGAAGTGTTTCCCATCAAAATTCGATAGACTTTTATAAGCACATAGACTTTCTTACTTTTCCAGGCTGCATGAAATTTAGTATCAGGATTATTACCCATTTGTCACTTTAACCTATTATTCAGTAAGCTTTTTTTTGTCTTTGAGTTACGCTTCTTTCTCCTCCGAGCCATCAGCTTGCGGCCATAGATTCATTTAAGAAACCGTCCAGGACACATGGTTTCACCTCTTAGAACAAACATTTTTCATGTTTCTTATTCTGCTTCCGTAAGAGACACCATTAGTTTTGTTCATCTCTATTTAAAATGATTTTTATGACACAATAACATTTCAAGTTTTCCATATTAACCTTCATTTTATTTCTTGAAATACTTAGGCAAACAATGCCACTAAGACGTCACTGATGGAGAATTCTTTCTCCTTCACTCCTGTCTACTTAAAGGCAAGTCTGAAGAAAGAATACACTTTTGCTCTGAATCAGCTGAGTGCTGGGAGAAAAGTTTAAAAGTCTGACCTAGTGGCTCACAGCATCTTAAAGTCAATACTTCCATAAGCAACCAAAGCAGAAAATCTTAATATAACTTTTTTCCCCAAAATAAATTAGATAACATTTTCAAATCTGGAGTCCTATAAAGGAATTTAAAACCTATTTTCTTACACATAAGTTCAAAGATGTCTGTTTCCAAAGGGAAAATGAAAATAAAATAAAAATAAAATCCCAGCCCATTTGCAAAAGCAAACAAGGAGAGGAACACACACCCCAGAGGGGCGGACAGTACTCACCCCACAGCCCAGGCCATTGCCCGCTTCACAGGTGACTTTCCTCTGGTCAGGCTCAGGCAGCAGCCCCGCTCCACAGCCAGGGCGGGGGCATAACACGCCCCCCATCTGCAGGACGCACTCCTCCGCGGCATACTGCTGGTACCGGTTGTACTTTGAACAGAAAAGCAGAGTGAGCTTTCAAATTGACTGTATATTTCAACCAAAGGGTCAGGAGCTGACAGTTTATATTTCTTGCTTAACCAGTGTCAGTAAAATAATGCATGTACGTGTGTGTGTCTGTGTGTGTGTGTGTGTCTGTGTGTGTAAGGGGAGGGAGAGTGTCGGGGGTTGATACGGGAGGACAAGGTAGGGTTTAACGTAGAAAAAGTCTACCAAATTCAACTGGCAAGACCTGTGAGTTTACTCTGATTTTTCTGTCTTGAGAAAACAGATTTTCCAAAGTTTTATGTTTTATGAGATTACTTCTACCAACTGTATTTCAACAATCTCATTTCATATGTATTTTAAGGAACATATTTACGTATTAAATGAACACTTATCATACATCATTATCAATCCTATAAAGCAATATATTTTCATGCCTCCACCATTTCTTCAACAAGGTTTTGTGATTATTTTGAAAATCGGCCCAATGTTCTACCTCATAACTGTTGGCAGCCCACACAGTACCAGTGAGCTAGAAGACTAATGTTAAAGCATCACGTTTTCCCTTTATCATTATTCTTAAAGCATGATTGCCTGTGTCCCTGACTTCATTTCTTTCTGCTACTGCTTTGCTCAATTTCCTTTAATGGTTTCCCCAGCCTGTAAATAAATTCCAAACTCCACCAGATCATTTTCAAGGGCTTCTTACATTATTTGTAATATAAACTCAGATCAATTCAAATAGATTTGCTCAATTATTAATTAAATAATGCAACATTTATCGAGAGCCTACTACATTCTAGGCACTGTTGAGGGGCTGGGGTTACAGCAGTGAATGAACAAAGTTCTCTGCCTTCATCCACAGCACTATAATAGTACCAAGAGGTTAGAATGTCTAGTATTTCCACTGGTGCGAAGTGTGGAAGAGAATAATCAACAGGGAAGAGATTCCAAAAAAGGTAGAGATTTCAGTTTTAAAGAGGCGTTACTAAGCAGGTGTGTTTAAGGAAGTGTCTGAAGTGTTTAAGCCCCAGTGTGCTGATGTGGTTGGTTGTTCAGGGTACAGTAAGAGGGGTACTGGGGCGAAGGCAGAGTGAACAAGGAGGGAAAAAACAGAAGGTGAAGTTGGAGAGTTCGTGAGGATCTAGAATATATAGTTCCCCGACAGCTGCTTTCAGAGCCCTGGCTGTTATTCTGGAACATACCAGAACCATTGCAGAACTCTGAGCTGAGGCGTGACATAATTTGACTAATATTTTAAAGACAACCACCTGGCTACTATGTTCGGAATACCCTCTGGAGGGCCAGGGTGGACCAGGAAGCAGAGAAGCATGTAGGAGCTGATTTCAACATCTATGCACGAGATGGCAGTGGCTTGAACCGGGAAGGCAGTGCTGGAGGTGGGATCAGTGGTTGAATTCTGGGTATAATTTCAAGGGAGAAATTGCAGAATTTTCAGTCAGGTTGGATGCATGGTGTGACAAAAAGAGGCGTCAAGTGCGCGTGTATAATGTATTTCCCTGTTTCCTGAGAACACAGGAGACGGGGGCGGAGGTGTGGCGTGTGGGGACAACTGTAGAAGAAGAAAGGGGTGTGTGTGTGTGTGTGTGTGTGTGTGTGTGTGTGTAGGGAATTGAGGTATGAAATCATTATATCTATTGTGCATATGTTCAGTTTGATACGCTATTACATAGTGATGTCGAAATGTCCAGTAGCTAATTGAATAAATAAATTCGTAGTTTAGGGGAAAGGCATGGGTCCAGATATACGTTTTGGTCATTAGCATGAGCCTCTAATCCATTTTCTCATTTTTTTCTGGCCCCAGGAGAGAAAGAAAAAGATGATCTGGTCTCCTTGTAAACGAATGGCACACATATGCAGCAGTGTTTACTAGAAAAGTGGTATAAGAGTTTGGATGACAGACGAAGTAGAATCTGTGAATTTATGGGGTAAGGCTCTCTGGACAGTGTCATAAGCTGTGCAATTATCAGAGGATACAATGAAGATGGTTCTGATGTCATGAATGATGAGAGAGTTTATGTAACCGAGAGACTGCGTGTTAGTGGTTATTGCACGGATTTCTTAGAGGCTTCATACATAAACCTTGCCTACAGCACTTCCCCAAATACCAAGGAAGGACCTGAGGAGGCGCACCGGCGACCTGAATGTCTCCCGGTCCTGCCTGTATCTCGGGATTACCTGCATCCTTGAAATTATTAGTAACGTCTGTCACTCGGTTGGATCTATGACAACCTGACTGCGTTATGAGGCTAGATGTGATTATCCAACCTCGGTAGGGATGGTGAGAAAACAGCAAAGGAGACCGAGGAGCAGCAGCCTGTGAGGCAGGTGAGAATTCAGGAGGACCCAGGTGTCCCGAGAGCCAAGGGAACAGTACGTCTGCAGGAGGCTGCCATGATGCGTGTGGTTAGAGCTGAGTGTGTGGCTGCCACTGGGGTCTCGACAAGAGTGATTTCAGTGGAGTCATGGAGCCAAAAGCCTTTGGAGTGGAGTCCAGAAAAACCTGGAGGAGAGGAATCCAAAGAAGTCAGAATGGACACTTTTTAAGAGGAGTTTGCCTGAAAAGGGGAGCAGAGATGGGGGTGGCCATTGGAGGGGACTCGGGGGACTCTGGGGTCGTAAAGGACTTCTGAAAACGGAGAAAGAAAGGTACGACACTATGCTGAAGGCAAGATTGAGATGAGAAGCCAGAGAAACAGCTCTGTCCTTGAGCAGGTTGGAGGGGATCTAAAGGATGTGTGGAGGGGTGGGCCCTCAGAGGGAAGGCAGCCATTCTTAGGGAAAGGAGGCCAGGCTGATTGCTTTGGCCCAGGTGCAGACGGGCAGAGGGGCATTGGGATTTGAGGAAGCGGAAAGGTATGAGTGATGAAGGAAGGAGGACAGAGGAAGTCGGCATCACCGCTCGATGGCACCCAGGCCCTCCTGAGGTCAGAGATGATGAATTTAAAGGAAAACTCGTTAGCAGTCTTCTGGTTCTCTGTACCAACACTGAGCTGCAAATCAAAGTAGAAAGGATGCTGGACTTGAGCTTGGTTGGAGTTTTGCTGGACTGGGAAAACGAAGCAGGATGTCTCTCAATCACCTCCTGCATATGACTGAATGATCTGATGGGGATCCGCCAAGCCCCTCTACTTCAGCTCTGTTCCCCTCCCGCATGTGACCGTGAGTGATCTCACGGTGATCCGCCAAGCCCCGCCGCCTCAGCTCTGTTCACCTCCTGCATATGACCGAATGATCTCACGGTGATCCACCAAGCCCCTCCGCCTCAGCTCTGTACCACTGTACTGCTCAACCTACCTTTTTGTCTTGATCTGCCCAAATCTTTCCACATTAAAACAAAAAACAAAACAAAAAAAACCTCTTTTTTTAGTGTAAATATCACATAGAATTAGAAAGCTTACAAATGTAGAGCTTAATACATTATAAAGTGGCCAACTTTTTAAACAGTACACAGGCCAAGACACAGAACTTTACCAGGGTCCCCTGCAACCCTCTGTGTATCTATTCTCATCTAACAACTTCACCCCTTCCTAAAAGACACCTTTTTTTTTTTTTTTTTTTTGAGAGTCTTGCTCTGTCAACAGGCTGGCATGCAATGGCGTGATCTCGGCTCACTGCAACCTCCGCCTCCTGGGTTCAAGTGATTCTCCTGCCTCAGCCTCCCAAGAAGCTGGGACTAAAGGCACACGCTACCCTACCCTGCTAATTTTTGTACTTTTAGTAGAGACGGGGTTTCACCATGTTGGCCAGGATGGTCTCGATCTCCCGACCTCGTGACCCGCCCGCCTAGGCCTCCCAAGTTGTAATCACTTTCTTGTTTTCTTTATCACTCAAGGTTCATTTCTAAACACCACAGTTCATTTTGTCTGTTTTAAAGGCATATTGTTCAGTCCATCACCCTCCGCTGTCTTTTTTTCCTTGCAATTTATTTGTGGAAGAAAGCAGGACATGTGACCTATAAAGTTTCCCAGTCTTCATTTTGCTGATTATTTCCAATGTTGCAGTTTATAATGCACCTTGATACTTTATTCCCTATAAACCGATAATTGATCTATAGGCTTCATCCAATTCAGCTGATTTCCTTCCTTCTGTCTTCGATCCCTACCCCTTCCTCTCTTTTCATTTTTTTCTTCCTCCTTCCCTCTTTCCCTTTTAAACTTTTCTTTGTGTTTTTAGAATTTTCTTCATTTTTCACTTTCTATTTCTTTTAAGACAACATCTATTGTATGTATATGTGTAATTTCTTAATAATTTGGTTCATCTTGAAAAGGCTATTTTACTTTCGTCTGATTTGGGGCACTCTCCCATTGTCCATAATGATGCTATTCTGTTCTTCACTCACTTTTTCATTTTAATAACTTTGCCTGGGACTGAACTTTGCTTCGTTACTGCTGGAGTTTGACCTTGTTTCTTTGCTGTTGCTCAGTTTCACATGAAATTAGTTCTCCTGGAACGTTACAAAGAGGTAGGATTCAGAAAAGCTGTAGACTTCTGTGTTCTGGTGTTTGGGGCAGTGTTCAAAAATATGAGATCTTCCTTTCTGCAACCTCACAACTCCGTTACCCCATTTTTAACTGGACTCTTTCTTTCCTTTTTTTCTTTTCTATTCTGAGCAAGCTTCGCCTCAGTGTGGGGCTTTGTCCTGAGAGAGGCCTCTGGCTGGGGAAATCTGGTGGGTCATGAGACCTGAAGTGCTCCGAGCCCTTTAGACCTTATTATAACTTTTGCACTCATTCTTCTATCCTTTTTTGCATCCACATACCCTGAGTGTGGCATAGCTTGTCAATAGTTTGAAGACAGTAAATAATTATAGAAAAAAAGTAATAAGCTCTAACTCCATTAAGCGATAATTAAGTGAAGAATTCTAAGAAGATAATCAATAGCAATGGAAAATAATCATAGCAATGGAAAATACTAACAGTGATTCAGGATTGTTTTACCTAAATAAATAATGATTTCATATAAGTTGCTCTTAAGTAACTTTC